AAAGATTAGAATATCAGCTTAGAGGGTTCAGGGTATCTCCTAGTCGAGCAGTCTCGACTGGAGCCTTCTTACTTGTTATTATATACATATTTATATATGTACATACATATATTGAATTTCGGCTCCAAGCTATCAGCAGATCAGCGCGATTTTCCTATACATGCGCACACACTCATCGTTTATTCTATGCAGACAGAAGCGCGCCTTTTAGCATATTCTTAGAATTTCGATTGATTTCTGGATTTTATAGCCGTTACTGTAGTTTTGTCTGATGACGCTCTCTTATAAAGCTAATCTATTTTAGCAATTGAGTGATCAAGCTGAGTATTGGCGCGGGTGTTAAAGGCGACGTAACTTTTGTTAGAGTAGGGGAGGTTCGAAACCTCTTCGATGTTATTCTTTTTATACCCTGAACCCATTGAAAATGGGAAATCAGGGTATAATGGTTTTGTGAAAAGTATGTAACAGGCAGAAGGAATCATCGCAGACCCCATAAAGTATATATATTCTTGATTAGGATGACGAGCTGAGTCGGTAAAGCCCTGTCCGTCTGTCCGTCCGTCCGTCCGTCCCTCCGTCCCTTCGTCCGTATGAGCAAAAGTATCTCAGAAGATATAAGAGCTAGAGAGCTGAAATTCGGCATGCATACTCGTGTATACCATAGGCAGTACAAGTTTATCATATTTTTTCGATAACTCCTCCGATAATTTTTTTATCGAGAATAATCGAAAAATCGACTTGGTTTTTTCAGCCTAATTTGAACACTTTTAGACCTGGAGACTTCAAATTTGCGTTGTATATAGAGTTAATGAACACAAAGATTTTGTAATTTACAGATTTTGGATACCACGCCCCTTTCGCCACCAATTTATAAAAAACGCATTTCAAGTACTAGAGACTTGTGCTTTGGAACGTACACACAATTTAACCATATGATTACGCTCTAAAAGTTTTATTAAGATTGTATGTCTACAAGAGAAATTATTCGACAAATAAATTCTCATAATATTGCCCACATTGCAGCGCAGCCCAAGCGCAGCCGCTGCTTACTGCTCAGCAGAGCGCGTGCTTATAAGTGCATGTGTATGTATGTGTGCCTAGAGGAAGTGCAGAATGATTAGAATATCAGCTTGGAGGGTTCAGGGTATCTCCTAGTCGAGCAGTCTCGACTGGAGCCTTCTTACTTGTTATACTCATTCACGAAAGTGAATCAGTATATTGGTTTTGTGCAATGTCCGTCTTGCTGACCGTCCGTCTGTCCGTCTGTCCGTCCGTCCGTCTGTCCGTATGAACGCAATCTATTTCGGCGCTATTGAAGCTAGAGACTTGAAATTTGGAACACATACTCGTGTATATCTCCGATTCATAAAGTGTTAAATGCATTTTCCGATATACCAGAAATCATGTTAGTTGAAGAGCTAGAAAGCTGAAATTTTGTACGTAGGTCCGCGTCGACCACCCAAGATCACGAACTATGGCGGATATATCTCCGCCTATTGGGGGCGTGGCAAATCGACTAAAGTTGTAAACCTAGAATGCTGAAATTTTGCACGTCAGCTAATGTTATGAATCTATAAAGTCAAAAGACAATTTATAAGTCTACGCCTATTAGGGGCGTGGCAAATCGGAAGATATAGGGATTTTTTATACCCTGAACCCATTTTCAATGGGAAATCAGGGTATAATGGTTTTGTTGAAATGTATGTAACAGGCAGAAGGAGGCGTGGCAGACCACAAAGTATATATATTCTTGATCAGGGTGACGAGCTGAGTCGATATAGCCCTGTCCGTCTGTCTGTCTGTCCGTCTGTCCGTCCGTCCGTCTGTCCGTATGTTTGAACGCGTCGATTTCCGAAGATATAAGAGCTAGAGACTTCAATTTTTTTTTAAATGTCCGTAATTACAGCGCGGATATCGAGTTTATCATTAAAAATCGATAAATCATCCCGATCTTTTTTTAGCGATAAAAAACCTTGTCGAAAACCAGTTATAAAATTATATCTTCTACACCTTTATTGCTAGAGTCTCCAAATTTTTAATGTATGCTTATATGCAATTTATACAATTTCGATTTTTGTTAAAATTTACCCCCCACCCCTATATTCACCCCCTCACCATCACTTTTGTAAAAGGCGTATTTCAAATACTAGAGGGTTGTGCTTTAGCAAATACATGCATATCTATGTTATAAAGTTTCTGAAAGTTTCATGAAGATCGTATGTCCACAAAAAAAAGTTAAATTTCATAAAAAAGTTCTTTCCGTATTATGAATATCTATTAAGCATATTTATATGTACAAATACATAAATAGATGGCTGACGCATATAAATGCCGCGATTCGGGCACTATAAATACCGATTGCCACGCCCCTAGTGGCTGTAGACTCCTCATTTTTGGCCAGTTCTTAGAGCAAACAACCGGTAACCTAAATGCAATTTGAATTCTTACTCTCAAAAAATGTGAAAATTACAGGGTATTTTTCGATATGCCACGCCCCTAAAGAGGCTTAAAAATTATTTTTGGGGCATGGATAGAGGAGGCTACCAGTATCCAAATTGGAAGCTTCTAGCTCTTAAACTCTAGGAGATATAAACTTTTGCGGTTAGCCATGCTCCATATGGACAGACATATATCTACCATAGCTCGTTGGACTTGGGTGGTCAACCCGCGTACATATACAAAATTTTAGGTCTCTAGCATCAATAGTGCCTAATATATAGCAGAATTGGAAAAATCACTATATCTTCAGGTCTGATTTGCCACGCCCCTAGTAAGCGTAGATATAAAATTATTTCATTGAATTGAAACATTAGCCCACGTGCAAAATTTCAGCATTCTAGACTTACAACTTTAGGAGATACAGTTTTATCCGATTTGCCACGCCCCTAATGGGCGGAGACATATCCGCCATAGCTCGTGATCTTGGGTGGTCGATGCGGACCTACATACCAAATTTCAGCTTTCTAGCTTCAACTAACATGATTTCTGGTATATCGGAAAATGCATTTTCCGATTTGCCATGCCCCTAGTGGGCGGATCGGGAAAATTTTAACACTTTATATATCGGAGATATACACGAGTATGTGTTCCAAATTGAGTCTCTAGACTCAATAGCGCCGAAATAGATTGAGTTCATACGGATAGACGGACAGACGGACATTGCACAAAACCAATATAATCATTTCACTCTCGGGAATGAGTATAATCACTGATACTGAGACGATAATAAAGGCTACTATCGAATTCTTGTATTCATTTCGTGCAAGAAGATACATACATACATATGTATGTACATATGTAGCTCACCAAAACCCAACCGAAATTAGACTTCAATTAAGGTTAACGGCGAAGGGAACGTTACTGACAGGTCGGTGGATTACAATTATAAAATAGTATTAGTGTATTTTAATGAGGTTTTGTTACTGTGTCCATAGAACACATAGACCGGAAGAAGTAGTGTAAAGCGTTTTGCCCACTTTTTTTCAAGCGTTAGTTCCCAGACCACTTCATATTTGCTGGGCTCCTTACTTTTAGGTTCGGGCTACAAAAATATGGGAACAACAAGTAAGAAGGCTCCAGTCGAGACTGCTCGACTAGGAGATACCCTGAACCCTCCAAGCTGATATTCTAATCATTCTGCACTTCTTCTAGGCACACATACATACACATGCACTTATAAGCACGCGCTCTGCTAACTGAGCAGTAAGCAGCGGCTGCGCTTGGGCTGCGCTGCAATGTGGGCAATATTATGAGAATTTATTTGTTGAATAATATCTTTTGTAGATATACAATCTTAATGAAACTTTTAGAGCGTAATCATATAGTTAAAATGTGTGTACATTCCAAAGCACAAGTCTCTAGTACCTGAAATGCATTTTTTACAAATTGGGGGCGAAGGGGGCGTGGTATCCAAAATCTGCAAATTAGAAAATCTTGTATCCATGATTATTTGTGGGAAGGGAATGAAAGCGTTGGTACGCATAAAGAAAATGTTTTCGCGATGAGCATGAACACACACACTTTCAGCCCCTTGCTACATGTTGTGACCACTTATGTATATACCTGTGTGCGAAGCTCTTGCTACCTGTAGCAATTTTAAGGTCTAGCATTTGTATTAGGTAGATCTTGTGAAGTGCTCACATACATGTATACATTTGATTGTGTGTACGCATGGGATGCGATGCTCACAATTATGGGATATTACTTGTAGAAGCATTTTTATGCCTCTGTGCTTTTACATGGGCCTGTGTGCATGTTTGCATGTATGAGACATAAACATTGTCGTATACCTACATCAACTTAGAATTGTGTGAACGATTTTAGGTTCGAATTGCAGAATCATTCTGATAGGCACACGATCATTGATACAAAATAAGGTAGTTAAAAATAAAAGCTCAAATAATCATGAAAAAGCAAACATTTTACATGAGCATGGCGAACGATTTGAAGGTATACTCTTCGCACAGAAGGGAAGAAACGGGAGTCTAACGCGAAGAAATTTAAATTTTCTCTGCTGCTGCTACTGCTCATACGCATACATATTCATATTTGTTCAATAGTCTCGGCCGAGCGCATGAAGAGAAATGAATTTTGCTCCCATATTTTTGTAGCCCGAACCTAAAAGTGAGGAGCCGAGCAACTAAAAATTGGTCTGGGAACTAACGCTCGAAGAAAATTGTGCAAAACGCTTTACACTAAATGTCCGGTCTATGTGTTCTGTGGTTAGGGTAAGGGCCCTGTGCAAATTATAAATGAAATGAAACCTAGCTCCCAAATCTAAGGAATTGAACATTTTTGTTTCCTACTTGTTTTCTGCTTGTGTTATAGTTACCGGCGTCACTAAAGGCTTCTCTCAAATAATAATTAATCGTTAGTTTGAATTATGCTGTTATCATCAACATATTGAGTTAGTATGATTTAATTTTGTACAACTTTAAAAAAACGTATTTTCTACTTTTATCAGTTGTTAAAATTTGTCTATATCCTTTTCAATATCTTACCTCCTTGCTCGTCCAACATAACAATGCTTCGCATCCCAACTTCCGCACTCTGAATAGAAATACATGTTGATTTTTAAATTAGTACTATAATGGGAGATACCATCAAAATTGTTCTATATCAATTTTATTTCTATAACATTGTATAATTGTTTAGAACTTTTGAAATAATCGAATCCTTATCTATATCACACAAGTAGAATATGATACATTGATTAGTCAAGTCCGATAACTTTTAAAATCGGGCAAGCAATGTGCTAGATTACTAACCATACAAAACATAGACTAGAAATCTAGAGTAACGCATTTTGCACAGTAAAATTTGAGCATAATTTCCCAGACCACTTCACTCTATGTGTTCGGCCTGGATGACTTTTAAACGAGAGAGTATTGAGAGAGAGAGAGGGAGAACAGAAAATATTGAGCATAGTGAAACTTCATATGTATAAAAGACGAAACTAAATATTAGGGGCCTGAGCATATACGAATATGGTTAGTGGTTAGATGTAAACAATGTATGTAATATATCTGATTATATGTATGTATGTATATAGCAATAAAGAATAAAGGTCTAGCTTCATTTTTAGAAACGATAAAAATATAATGATCAGAAGCTTTTTAGAAATTAAATACGGAGATTTTGGAACTCACTATTATTGGAATATTATCCCCCTCCAACCAAATAAAAATAAACAATTTTTATACCCTGATCCCATTTTCAATGGGAAATCAGGGTATAATGGTTTTGTTAAATGTATGTAACAGGCAGAAGGAGGCCTTATATTCTTGATTAGGGCGACGAGCTGAGTCGATTTGGCCCTGTCCGTCTGTCTGTCCGTCCGTCTGTCCATATGTATGAACTCGTCGATCTCAGAAGATATAAGAGAATTGAAAAATTTTCCCTAGGTCCGTGTATATCATGCGCATATCAAGTTTTTCTCTATATATCGATAACTACTCCCGATATTTTATTATCGATTAAAAACCTTATCGAAAGCTAGTTATTTAATTATATCTCCTACACCTTTAGAATAGAGCTTGAAAATTTTAAATGTAGACCTAAATATACTTTATATAATTTCGATTTTTGTTATAATTTACCCCTCACCCCTATATCCACCCACTCACCCTCACCTTTGTAAAAGGCGTATTTCAAGTACTAGAGACTTGTGCTTTGGAATGTACATACATTTTCACCATATGATTACGCTTTGAAGACGTACAAACAGCGACTGCGCTTGGGCTGCGCTGCAGTGTGGGCAACATTATAAGAATTTATTTGTTGAATAATATAATTTCTAGACGTACAATCTTAATGCAACTTTTAGAGCGTAATCATCCAAAAGCACAAGTCCCTAGTACTTAAAATACGCCTTTTAGAAAGGTGAGGGTGAGGGGGTGGATATAGGGATGGGGGGTAAATTACAACAGAAATCGAAATTATATAAAATACATATGTCTACATTTAAAATTTGCAAGCTCTAGCTCTAAATATAATTAAATAACTTGCTTTCGATAAGGTTTATGATCGATAATAAAATATCGGGAGTAGTTATCGATATATAGGGAAAAACTCGATATGCGCGTGATATACACGGACCTAGGAAAAAAAGTTTCTAGCTCTCATATCTGTTGAGATCGACGCGTTCATACATACGGTCGGACGGACAGACTGACGGACAGGGCCAAATCGACTTACATACTTTTAACAAAACCATTATGCCCTGATTTTCCATTTTCAATGGGTTCAGGGTATAACAAGTCGAGACTGCCCGAATACGAGATCCCCTGAACCCTTCAAGCAAATGATATTTCAATTATAACAAAAACCGCAATTATATACAACGCATATAAGTATACATTTAATTTGGAGACTCTTTAAAGCTTTAAAGATGTAGGAGATATAATTTTATAACTGATTTTCGATCACGTTTTTATCGATAAAAATTATGGGATGAGTTATCGATTTTTTGAGATAAACAGGATATGCGCGCTATATATGCGGACATTTAAAACAAAATGTCCTATATAAATAAAACAAGTAAGAAAGCTCTAGTCGAGACTGCTCGACTACGAGATCCCCTTAACCCTTGGAGCAATAGATATTTCAATAATTTTGCGCGTCTTTCAGCTTACACAAGAAACACGCACACACACACACACACACACACGCACGTACGCACACACAGGCATACATACACACACACGCATACAGACACACATACACACACACGCATACACACACAAACGCATACACACACACACATACACACACACATACACACACACACACATACACAAACACATACACACACAAGCATAAACACGCATGGGCTGCAGTGTGCGCTTACTATGAGAACTTAATTGTTTAATAACTTTTTTTATGGACGTACGATCTTCATGAAACTTTCAGATTAAGATGAATATGCATGTAATTGCCAAAGCACAAGTCTCTAGTATTTGAAATACGCCTTTTACAAAAGTGAGGGTGAGGGGTAAATTTAGAGGTGGGGGTAAATTTTAACAAAAACCAAAATTGTATATATTGCATATAAGCATACATTAAAAATTTGGAGACTCTAGCAATAAAGGTGTAGAAAATATAATTTTATAACTGCTTTTCGATACGGGTTTTTATCGATGAAAAAAGATCGGGATGAGTTATCGATTTTTAATGATAAACTTGATATTCGCGCTGTAATTGCGGACATTTAAAAAAAAATTTGAAGTCTCTAGCTCTTATATCTTCTGAAATCGACGCGTTCATACATACGGACAGACGGACGGACAGACAGACGGACAGGGCCAAATCAACTCAGCTCGTCGCCCTGATCAAGAATATATATACTTTGTGGGGTCTACCACGCCTCCTTCTCCCTGTTACATACATTTCAACAAAACCATTATACCCTGATTTCCCATTGAAAATGGGTTCAGGGTATAAAAACAAAAAGGAGGAACGTTGCAGTCGGGCGTTATCGACTGCGGAATACTCATTCACATCCCATCAGCAATTTAGTAGCTAATTTTCGCTCTAGTACTGTAGAAAATTCAGTTTTTCCCGATTTACCACGCTCTACAGGGCGTAAACACCTCATTTTTGGTCAGTTTTTAGAACGAGCTACCCGAACTGCAAAATTTGAATGATTACGCTCCAAAAATGTGAATATTACAGGGAATGTCTCGATATGCCACGCCCATAAAGAGGCATACAAATTATTTTTGGGTCATCGATAGAGGAGCTTACTAGTAACTCAACTATCTAAATTTGAAGCTTTTAGCTATTATACTTTGGGAGATATAAACTTCTGCGGTTTGCCACGTCCCTTATGGGCGGACATATATCCGTCGAAACTTTTTGGTATTCGGTGGTCAACCCGAGTATATATACCAAATTTGAGGTCTCTAGCATTATTAGTAGCCAAAATACAGCAGAATTAAAAAATCACTATATCTTCAGATCCGATTTGCAACGCCCCTAATGGGCGTAGACAAATAATTTGTTCAATAATCTTTATAGAATCATAACATTATCCTACGTGCGTTCCAGCTTTAAAACTCTAGGAGATACAGTTTTATCCGACTTGTTACGCCCCCAATGGGCGTAGATACATCCGCCATAGTTTGTAATCTTGGGTGGTCGATACGGACCTACACTCCAAACTTCAGCTTTCTAGGTCTTCAACTAATATGATTTCTGGCATATCGGAAAATACATTTTCCGATTTGCCATGCCCCTAGTGGGCGGATCGAAAAAATTGTAACACTTTATAAATCGGAGATATGCACGAGTATGTGTTCCACATTGCAAGTACTAGTTTCCATAGCGCCGAAATAAACTGCGTTCATACGGACAGACGGACGGGCAGCAAGACGGACATTGCACAAAACCAATATACTAATTCACCTGGGTCCGTGTATATCACACGCATATTGAATTTTTCTGCCCAAATCGATAATTACGATATTTTATTATCAATTAAACTCCTTACCGAAAACTAGTTATTTAATAATATCTCCTACACCTTTAGATCTACAGTCTCCAAACTTTAAATATAGACTTATATGTATTTTATATAATTTAGGTTTTTATGGTAATTTAACCCCCACCCTTATATCCACCCCCTCAGGCGTATTTTAAATACTAGAGACTTGTGGACGCATTTCAATGTTAATATCATGATCTACAAGTTTCATGGAGATAGTTCATCAACAAGAAAAGTTATTAAATTAAAAGTTATTGCATTCCATGCGTGTTTATGCGAGATCTACTGTGTATATACCGTTGAAGGATACAAAGATTTTGTAATTTACATATTTTGGATACCACGCCACCTTCGCCTATAATTTGTAAAAAACTTTTTTGTGCTTTTCTCATAATATCTCAGTCAGTGCAGCCCAAGCGCAGTCGCTGCTTACTGCGCAATTGACAGAGCGCGTGCTTATACGTACGTGTGGATGTATGTGTATGCATATCTACATAGAAGTGCAGAATGAGTAGAATATCTCATAGTCGAGCAGTCTCGACTGGAGCCTTCTTGCTTGTTGATATCCATTTAATCAGGATTGGAGAGCAGATTTTCTTTTAGTATATTTAAATACATACATACATGTATGTATATACATATCTGCATTTAGAATAGATAGAAGCTTCGATACATTAGAAAGATAAAGAAATGATTTGGACATCTCGATAGAAGTCACTTTATTTTCTGAGCAGATATATGGGGATTCTTCTTTTTCACTTCCAGAATTTTCTCTTTGTGTCTGTCCATATTTTTGGTCGTCCGGCACGTGACAGTCGGCCGAATGACTTCCAAAACTACACTCGATAAATTACACTTTGTTTGTCGAGACATTTCTTTGAACTAATTGATTTCGACCTTGAATTTTTATACTCATTCACGAAAGTGAAATGAGTATATTGGTTTTGTGCAATGTCCGTCCTTTCCGTCCGTCTGTCTGTCTGTCCGCATGAACGCAATTTATGTCGGCGCTATTGAAGCAAGAGCGTGGCAAATCAGAAAATGCATTTGTAGATCCGTGTTGACC